AAACAGTGTCCATGCATGCTATCAACGTAAATAAAATCACGACCTATATCTCCATAATGTAACTTTATTAATTCATTATTTCGCTATTACAGCTTCGTCAGGAGCTATCGATATCCTACAAGTTTTCATAATCAGTTAAATTTAAATTTGAACAATGTCATTCCATTGCATGCTATCCACAACAAACCTTGCTATATTACAAGCACAAGTTATTCACATTTACTTTTTTATTTCTCAATAACAATAAGCTTAAGCGGTTAGACCAAACTTTCCTAAACGGGGTTAAACTAATTTATTCCAACTCAGCATCAATAATCTGTGAGTTCAGTGAAACATTAACACTGTTTCTTTATCATTACTTTACTACCTAAACCTTACATTAAAAATTCACAGATTCACCCATGTTATCAACCACTTAAGGGTTTTTCAACTACACTTATTCCCTAACACTGGTAATTCATTAACGAAATTTAGCACCATTTATCATCAAGTTATTTTCATTTCTGGTGTTTTTGGTTTGTTTTGTTGAATTTCGTGCAAAGCTACTCGAGGGCTATCTGCTCTAAGCCGTCCCTAATTTAAAGTGATAGACTAACGCAAGCCTCTCAATGGCACAGCGGTATGTCTGCGGACTTACAACGCTAAAGCCCTGGTTTCGATACCCGTGGTGGGCAGAGCACAGATAGCCCATTTTGTAGCTTTATGCTCAGCTTGAAACAACAACAACGACTAACGCAAATAGCCCTTGACATGAGTAGCTAAGTGCGAATATCCGAAAAAAACAAGCAAAAAGAAAGCTGGCACCGAAACAAAATAAATAGCAAAACTGCATAATGAATAAGGAAAATCATCCTCGTTTTGTTTTTAAACGACGCTCATAACTTGTAAACTAGGTTAGATTTGTGGAGTTCTTCTTGTTTACCAAACGATCTAATTTCTATTTGCAGGGCCCGGCATGGCCAGGTGGTTAGGGAGCTCGACTCGCAATCTACGGGTTGCGGGTTCGAATCCCCGTCCCACCAAACATGCTCGCCCTTTCAGCCGTGGGGGCGTTGTAATGTTACGGTCAATCCCACTATTCGTTGATAAAAGAGTAGCCCATGAGTTGGCGGTGGGTGGTGATGACTAGCTGCTTTCCCTCTACTCTTACACTGCTAAATTAGGGACGGCTATCGCAGATAGCCCTCGTGTAGCTTTGCGCGAAATTAAAAAAACAAACAAACAATTCTATTTGCATATCTCCCATTTTTATATTCTAATTTTATGGTTATTCTGTAGTACACCACTCTACTAATTAAAGAAAATCTCACCAGGAATCACTCAGATTCTGGCGATACGTTCACGCTTTTCTATACTCCACATTTATACACCCATAGATGTATATTAACAAGAGAATCTCCTGAAGATGGGTTAAGGAGCGTGAACGAATCCCCTTTAGAACCACAAATATAAATGCCATAAGTCGCCATATCTAGTTGCAAGTCACCAGTAAAACCAATATCTTAAACACAACAATAACGTATTCAAACGTACTTTGTTTTCCGGTGTGTCAGTGGTAAATCCGAGGGCTTATAATATTAAAACTCTCAGGACTCGCTGCCTTCTTTCAATGTAGTGAGTAGTTCGTAATTACGGGCGGCAATACCTGAATCCTAGAGGTCTCTGACTTGTCATTTAGTCTATGTGCACATAGGTTGAAAATACCAAGACTTTGCCTTTCTCTTACTGTCATATTTACAAAAGTTCTTTTCAGGACTTTAGCCTGTTATTCTTCATTTAAAATAATCCTTTTCAGGACTACTTATTGTTGTTTTCGAGCTCCTCCTTCTACTACCATACATCATTGTTTCGACCTTGATTATCCATAGTATACCGCCCCGGAGAATCGAACCCTGGATTTTAGTGTTGTAAGTCCTTAAACTTACTGCTGACCAACCAAGGGATGTAATGTAAGGAGAAATTCAATATTAACTACCATCCTCATTACAGTCTAGCCCTTTCTGGACCAGAGGGGGTATCATTAATATACATGTATATATCCCTTGATTTTTTTTCTTGTCCCAGTGGAAAAACTTTACCTGATTTCATAAAACTCAGAACTAACTTACTTAAAAGTATCTACTTTCGGCATTAAAAAAATTGCTGTTTCTGTAATTTTTTTATGTTGTGAAATTTCCAAAAGTTTGTTGTGAAATGTTTATGCAAAAAAGACGTTAAAATAATTCCTTTCATTTTTTTATTGTCGATCAAAAAGTTTCATTTTATATATCAAAGTGATTTCAATATGATTGGTTTTTCATTAATGCATTTATATTTGATACTTTATTTTGACGATTGGAGTAGTCAACATTTGTAAACCGTAAGGAAAATGCAGCATAAACTGACAAAGATTTATTGATAACTTAGGGCCTAATCTTTCAAAATGGCGTCACGTCAAGCTATATAACAATATTTTTTTGCTAAACATAGTCTTGGTTGAGATCAATTTATAACTAACAAATACAAGTTCTTTTCAGTAAATAGTAATTTATTCTATTTTTATGTGCTGTTTAAATTTGATAACCGTAACAGTTATATTCAATAAATATAGATTTGTGTTATCGAAATATTTTGTCGTCACCTACCGTACTTGCTAAACCTAACAAAGTTTACCCGATGTCTTTTCATAGAAAAAATTTCCATAGCTTTCAAACGCAGATAATTTAACACGAAAGCATTTTCAGGAACGAAAATAATATTTAAAGAAACTAAAAAAAAAAAAAATCCATGCCTGTGGTTTGTGATTAAGGTCTTCTAAACTTCCCACTAAATTCCTTCTTTCGTCTTTGCAGGGGACGGGTCTTGTTACCTTCCTGACGAAATCGTAAACCATTATCACACCGCTTTGTTCGCTACAACTGATGTACCCGTTGATGCCAGATTAACCCGGTGAAGTCTTATAACCATACAGATAATACTCTGTTTATCCATAAACCAGTTTTTCGATAGAAGTTCTTTTACAAATTCCAAGCCTAATCCTTAATGAAACGGGCCCGGCATGGCCAGGTGGTTAGGGAGCTCGACTCGCAATCTGCGGGTCGCGGGTTCGAATCCTCGTCACACCAAACATGCTCGTCATTTCAGCCGTGGGGGGCGTTATAATGTGACGGTAAACCCCACTGTTCGTTGGTAAAAGAGTAGCCCAAGAGTTGGCGGTGGGTGGTGATGGCTAGCTGCTTTCCCTCTAATCTTACACTGCTAAATTAGGGACGGCTACCGCAGTCCTCGTGTAGCTTTGCGCGAAATTCAAAACGAACAAAACAAAACCTTACAGAAACATTCTTCCAAAATGAAACCGTTGCAAAATATTAAAAACATGTAAGATTGATAGCTCAATCGTACGAAGATAGGCAGCAAGAGATTGGGTAATGTCAAAGTCGATAGTATTTACTCTTAAATTACTGGCTTATTAATACCAGTAGGGCCCACGTGCAGAAAGTACTTTCAGGTGCACTTACTTCTCTTTAAAAATAATCAGGTAGGAGCTGCAGAATTACAGAATATCAGGAAGTTTCGATAGTAAATGTATTACAGAGTGAATCTGAATTCTATGGTTTGGTTTGGTTTGAAGTTCGCACGTAGCCCGCGTGTAGTGAAAGACTAGAAGGAAAGCAGCTAGTCATCACCACCCACCGCCAACTCTTTAACCCCGTGGCTGCAAGGGCAAGCACGTTTGGAGGGACAGGGATTCGAGCCCGCGACCCTCAAATTGCTAGTCAAACGCCCTAATCACCTGGCTTTGCCGGACCTTGAATTCTATGACCGCGATTGAATTGAAATCGAAGCAAATAAAAAAGACTAAACACAATGTACAACACAGTGATACAACCTTTATTCAACACTCAAATAAACAATCAAAGCCAACAAGTGTAATTTGAGGCGCCTTTACTGCAGAACACTCTAATGAATCTGATGATCTGCATCTCAAATCTCATCTAATATTACTGACCTTAAATACGTTCTAACTGAGCATAAAACAAAGTAATATATATATATATACTATTCTTCTCAGGATGAAAGCTCTACTCATTTGACATTTAGTTATTCTCATCGCAAAATAAGAGAGGTATCACCTGACCTGCCAGTGGAAAAGATCATTTTCTGTTTCTATGTAGTATGCTTCAATATACAGGAATTCTTCCCTAATTTAATGGCCCAGTTACGTGAGTAACCAGAGCAAGGAGAATTTAGTGGCTCCCTTGACGGACATTTTATATTAAGACTATGTACGCAATTTGTACAGATACTTTTGAAATTTTTTAAAATATTATTTCTAAGAAATTATGAGTGAAAGTAAATAAGAATGTATATCATTATGTCAACCACACTATATCTGCTATAACCATTGTCGACGAGGCCTTTCGACAATACCAGGGCTCACCATGCCGACTGGGATACTATTAATACAGTAATGATTACATTATCAAATTGCATGAACAGAAACTGTTATGGTGTGAACTACATTAACTTTGTGAAGAGTAATTTTTATCATAAGACGGCAGAAAACACTTAGAATACCCACATACTGAATACATTTATATTTTAATCTGTAACCATTAGGAACCGACAAAAAAGAAAAAAAAATTGAAATCACTCATTTACTGTGTAAAGTATAAAGCGGAACCCAACAGTGGGATTAATCGTGACACTGGTGGTATCTTTGTTTACATATTTGAATTGTGTAAATAGTATGTTGTTATGGAATTGACCTCAACATTCTTGTCATTTGGTGCGTAAATATGTAGAAAAATTCGTTTAAGAAAACCGATTTAAATGAATCTCATTGTTAATTCTAGGAGTTAATGAAAACTATTTTATGTTTTACAAAAGTGAGCATTGTCGTACAGCAATATCACACCCTTTTACTGGAATGACGGTAGCCTACGAAATTGACCTAAATAGTGATGATAAAAAAAAACGCTATGCTATACAACAAACAAATCAATATGCAAGTCACTTACCAGTGCATTTAAAACAGTCAACGTGAAAATACTTCTCCTGAACTCGTAGAGCGTTACCTATACATTTCTTCCTGCATGCTTCACATGTTACTTTCCCTAAAATGAAATTTTGATAGAAAAACAAGAGTCAGAAATTAAAAACTAATAAAAATATAGGACGTAACTGAATTAGATAATCATATAAACAATTAGAATGTTTGTTTTTTTTTAGATCACAGCCACATTGGGCTAACTGTTGTGTCCACCGCGGTGGAATCGAACCCTGGATTTAGAGCTGTAAGTCCGTAGACTTATCGCTGTTCCACCGGGGGGACAACAAGTAAAATTACACATAATATGATACATATAAAACTATATGTTTAATAAACCGTCATAAATAACAAGGGCTATCTACATTCGATTATATCACTCAACGTCCTAAAATATATTTCAAGTACAATGGGAATGCGAGACAACATTAAAATCACGAATGAAACTTTGTTAAAATGAAATAGACTAGTAATAAGACCGGTCATGGCCTAATGGTCAGGGTGCTCGACTCGCAATCTGGGGCTCGCGGGTTTGAATCCGAACGTGCTCGCCTTTTCATTCGTGGGAGCGTTATAAAGTTACGGTCAATCACATTATTTTTTGGTAAAAGAGTAGCCCAATTATTGACGGTGGATGGTGTTGACTAGCTGACTTCTCTTTAATTTATCATTGCTAAATCAGGGACGGCTGGCCCTCGATTAGCTTTGTGCGAAATTCTAAAACATACAAATAATGATAGAAATAGAGGAAGAAGCAGACATCGATCGAACTTGACCCTCCCAGATCCCGATAAGGAGAACCCTAATAAAACAGAATTAGTTTCGGCCCCTACGGATGGACATCAACTTGACCGGTGAAGAGAGGGTTATATATTCAAAGAACAAAATTGTTAAACGAATCGATGTACAGCGCGAAGGAAACCGGGAAGCTTTTATTTCTAACCTTTATTATCGTAATAAAGTTGTGATCGTAAATTTTAAAATTGTCTCACATTTCCATTAAAACTGTGCACGAAGTCGATTCAACTTTTCGAAATCTAGAATACTTATGTCGAACGCGTTAACTGTTAAGTACCTTTATTTGTTTGAAGTTAAAGCACGAAGCTGCACAATGGGCTATCAGTGCTCTGCCCACCACTGGTATCGAAACCCTGTTTCTAGCATTGTAAGTCCGTAGACATACCTGAACTAACCAGCTCATGAGCATAGAGGAGAAAAAGCTGTGTCCAAATCAAACTCTTTAAAATTTAAACAGTTAATTACCCTGATGGTAGAAAAAAAAGTTGTTGTAACACTTCAATATGAAAATGTTCAAAATTATTTTAACATTAGTCACTTATCTGAGAAGTTTCTATTTTTGGTATTTCCTGATGGTAGGGTAGTAAACGCTATTACATTTGATATCGATTTTTCATGTAAAACTCCTGTCTTACAATTTTTTAAAGTAAGGTGGAACTACTTTTACCGAGTAATTGTTTAGCGCTAGTGCAAGCTGCTCGTGCATAAAACATTTCTGACAAATATTGTCAGATGTTGATGGTGCATTTGTGTTAATTTCGTTCTGTTAATAATAACATACCGACATTTATTTCCTTATTCAAACGATTTCTATCATGGCGAATTGCTGTGAGGAGTAATGAATGGAACTACATATAATATGAGACACACCTGGTCACAACTTCCAAGGTATTTTACTAATTACTGATGTGCATATAAATTATCATGAAAGAAAACCAGGCTTTGAAAGCGTCACCAAAACTTCACAGACGGCGGGAAGGTCATGTGACTACTCTTGCCGATAAAATAATAATAACAAACAGCAAAATGTTTGAACAATGTAGAGCCAAAGAACACAAGATTTCAAAGATGGAAATCTTCAGTATTCTGCATGGAAGAGAAAAAACGTGCACAGCGTAGAGTTTATGAAGACATCTTTGTTTGTTTGTTCATCTGTTTTCTTTCGTTTTGCACATAGCCACTCGGGGGCTATCTGCGCTAATAGTCCCTAATTTTGAAGAGATAGACTACAGAGTAGTACATTATCTTGGGCTACTCTTTACCAACAAAAAGTGGGATTGATCGAACATTATAACACCCGCACGGCTGAAAGGACGAACATGTTCGGTAAGGGGATTCGAAGATTGTGAGTTGAAGCTGATGAAGCTCAAAAGCTTCCATCCACAACTAGAAATCAAACTATACTCTCGAGGTCTAACTCTACATTATCTAAGTCCATAATGGCTAAAAATCAGTGACAGTCTAACTCTACATTATCTAAGTCCGTTATGGCTAAAGATTAGTGACAGTCTAACTCTACATTATCTAAGTCCGTTATGGCTAAAGATTAGTGACAGTCTAACTCTACATTATCTATGTCCGTTATGGCTAAAGATCAGTGACAGTCTAACACTACATTACCTAAGTCCGTTATGGCTAAAGATCAGTGACAGTCTAACTCTACATTACTTAAGTCCGTCATGGCTAAAGATCAGTGACAGTCTAACACTACATTACCTAAGTCCGTTATGGCTAAAGATCAGTGACAGTCTAACTCTACATTATCTAAGTCCGTTATGGCTAAAGATTAGTGACAGTCTAACTCTACATTATCTAAGTCCGTTATGGTTAAAGATCAGTGACAGTCTAACTCTACATTATCTGAGTCCGTTATGGCTAAAGACCAGTGACAGTCTAACTACATTATCTAAGTCCGTTATGGCTAAAGATCAGTGACAATCTAACTCTACATTACCTAAGTCTGTTATGGCTAAAGATCAGTGACAGTCTAACTCTACATTACCTAAGTCCGTTGTGGCTAAAGATCAGTGACAGTCTAACTCTACATTATCTAAGTCCGTTATGGCTAAAGATCAGTGACAGTCTAACTCTACATTACTTAAGGCCGTTATGGCTAAAGATCAGTGACAGTCTAACTCTACATTACCTAAGTCCATTATGGCTAAAGACCAGTGACAGTCTAACTACATTATCTAAGTCCGTTATGGCTAAAGATCAGTGACAGTCTAACTCTACATTACTTAAGTCCGTTATGGCTAAAGATCAGTGACAGTCTAACTCTGCATTACTTAAGTCCGTTATGGCTAAAGATCAGTGACAGTCTAACACTACATTACCTAAGTCCATTATGGCTAAAGATCAGTGACAGTCTAACTCTACATTATCTAAGTCCGTTATGGCTAAAGATCAGTAACAGTCTAACTCTACAATACTTAAGTCCGTTATGGCTAAAGACCAGTGACAGTCTAACTACATTATCTAAGTCCGTTATGGCTAAAGATCAGTGACAGTCTAACTCTACACTATCTAAGTCCGTTATGGCTAAAGATCGGTGACAGTCTAACTCTACATTATCTAAGTCCGTTATGGCTAAAGACCAGTGACAGTCTAACTCTACATTACTCAGTAAGGAAAGTTTCACAATACCAGTGCAGATAATTATATTTCACCATGTTATTATCACAAAACCTTTTAAAGTTCTAGGATTGACATTATTTTGATTACGCTGTAATTACTTCTAAATATACATTACAAAAGGGGTTGTTTGTTGTTAAGCGCAAAGCTACACAACGGACTATGTGTGATATGCTCATTACGGGTATGGAAACCTAATTTTTAGCGTTATAAGCCCTCAAACTTATCGCTGAGCCACCTGGGGGCATAAAAGGACAGAGAGTCTATATTCCCGTGCGAAATGCCAAGTTATCAGGTTAAAAGATTATTTATGATGACATTATTGTGTTTGCCTTGACACACGCATGTTCCACAGAAGTTCATAATCCTATCTATTGTTTACAATCGTAACTTGGCTTGAGAATCAAACATATGTTGGTGACAGTACAGTAATAGTTCAAAATTTCTGCAGAACAAGAGAAAACAATAAAATAAACAAAACACGAGTTTGGTAAGAAACTGATAGCCATAAACATGGAGGGTGATTTAGAATACAAATATATTCTATAAAACAAAAAAAAATCGATAACATCGTTTTTCTGTCTTGTAAAAGTCTGTGCACGTTCAGGAAAGGAACTCAATCAAGCAAGAAAAGCTGATCTCAAATCTCAGAAGTATAATTGTACTAAAACTGAGTTTCAATTTCTTTAATTATATTTTATCGCAATGTTGAATTCCTTACTTGTATATAAATCTATGCTTCTTTAAACTGATTTTTACCTATTTTTTTGTTTTCATTAAAACGATCTTTGAATATGCAACATGTTGTTGCGTATCTCCTTGTTTGTTAATTTCCGGTAGAAATTCTTTCCGAGGAACTTCAGCGATACAAGTACTTTCTTGATTAAACCAGTTTATTCTTTCTTGATACAAACTTTCAGTACACATTAATTCCACAGTCAGTACGTTTCTCGTCACTTAAACTTAGCAACTTTTATAATACATGCTATAAACCACAGTGATTCACAATCTCGATAATTTCGCTCTATACGAGTGCAAAACACACACTAACTCGAAACAGAATCGTAAATTACCCGAAACTCACCGTGACTACTGTTCGCTTAACCATCCCCTAGTTTTTCTCTGCCAGACTTATATACTAACAAAGAGGCGTCTCAATCACACTCGAACTTCTCCGATAATTCGAGAAACTCAATCACGCATGCGCTAGCAGGGTCACGTGACTTCCGCTGTCGTAACACTGCCATTTCCTTAGTATTGTTTGTCCCGAACAATAGCCACTTACATTA